ATGCACAGTCTCTGTCCTGCAGAATAGAGGATCACTGGCATGCACAGTCTCTGCCCCACAGAATGCTGGGGTCACTGGCATGCACAGTCTCTGTCCTGCAGAATGCTGGGATCACTGGCATGCACGAGGCCGTGCCCAGCTTTCTTAACATGCATGCTAGGAATGCAGACTGAGGGCCTCACGCTTGCTCAGCAAGTGCTTTTCTTACCCACTGAGCTATTTTCCCAGCACACTAATCTCCTTTTTAAAAATAATTCCTTCATGAGAGGATGCCGCTGAGTGGGACACGGGATTTAATAACATGGGATTTAATAACTCTGGAGGACAAATCAAAGTTTTCAGAGCCTGGGGAAATAATTGGCAGGGCCGAGCAAAGCGGGAGCGCTTGTTGCCCTGGCAAATGAGAAGGAATTCAGAAGCCAAGAAAGATGGATATGAGGATCCAGGGGGTGTGCTCTCAGACTCAACAGGGGCTCCAGTACCACTAACGAGCTTGGAGGTGGCTCTCCCTTCAGGTCAGGACTGATGATAGACTCGCCAGTGATATGTTGGGCTCCTTAATAACCACGGATAGGATGAGGCCCCAAAATAATAGAGACTGAGGGGGAGGGGGCGTGCCACGGGTGTCTCAGGAGCCAAGAGGCCACAACTGCTATTATTGACTGGTGTGGGCAGAGGGCCAGCAAGGGGGCTTGACCCAAGGGACGTGAGAGGTAGTTAAGACAGTGTGGTATATCCAGGAGCAAGAATCATGGGTGTTTAGAGAGCTGTGTAACATCTATACCGGAGAAAGGTGGGAGGGAGATATTCTTCTAGTAACGAGCCGCATCCCTTCAAATCCCACCGACTGCCAGGGTGGCTGGGTTCCAAGGAGGAAGGGCCCTGGCACACGGTCGAGTATCTGCCGGAATCACGCTTACAGCCGTCCCGCAGACAGACCTTTAGGCAGTGACTCAGGTAACTGGAGAGCAGAGGAGGGGAGGCCTCGCCATTCCAAGGACTGTCGGACTAGGGAGGGAATGGGCTCGGCTCCTGCAGTCCGCCCCCACCTTTCTGTGTTTACGGGCCTCCGACAAAGAACGCTTGGCTACGTGTACATAGCAACCATGCCCAGCCTTGAACTTCTGATCCTCCTGCCTCTCCCTCGAAGATGCTGAGATTATGGGCACGTGCCACCAAGGCTGAAAGGACGTCGTTAAAGCCAGCACTTGGCCAGCCGGGCTACACCTCTAGCCCTTCCTTCTTTTTAAGTTACTTAATTGGTTTTGGAAGTACCGGGGGTTCGGCTTAGAGCCTCTCATGTGCTGGACAAATGTTCGACCGTGAGGCAACCCCCCCTCCCACTCTCCCCACTCTCCCCTTTTAAAGCAGAACCTTTGCCCTTTAGAGTACCCGTAGGAAGAGTGAAAAGAGAGATGGAGGGAACGTTAGCGGAGGATTGAGCCTAAATACAAAACTATGCTTATCTTTTCCTTATTTCATAAAAGTCACTTAACCTCGCTAAACCTTGATCTCATTTTTTTTTTTTTTTTTT